CGAGTTGGCTAATAATTATCTATATATAGGTATACATGTTATTTGCTCAGGGGTCCGATGATCCCGTGGAAACAAACCCCGAACTTGAATACAGTATTTGCACCCTCACTTATTTGCTCAGAATGGGCCCAAACCGCTTTCAATACTTTGCTCATATGTAGAAAATTTATTTAAAAAATTGAAACCCGGAATCATCCCCTAATTTTCCACCCTCAGGGGTGGAATATTCTCTTCAAATGTAAATAAGACTTCCCTTGAAATATGGCCCATGCATTAAAAAAATATTAAAATCGATTCATAATCCGAGAAGAAATCGTTAAAAATCATATAAAATAATGATGTTCTACCGTAGATTTATCTGTATGTTTGTGCCGCATTGTGTTGATCATGACAAAAAACAACTTTTCGGATAATATCGTAAAGATGATCGCTTTAACTTTTTAAAGATTAGGGTTTTAAAAATTTCTTCGGCTTAATTAAGCGGTTTAAAAAGTATTACCGAATCAAAATCGGTATAACTGGTACAGCTGATAGTACAGCATTGTGAAACTAACTACGATATTTTCACTAATTAAAAATCAGCAATTTTGACGTATTCGAGTTGGAATTAAACAACTGCAAAGAAGTGGGAGGCTTTAAATTTCTATATTTTGGAATACAGTTGGTTGCATTTAAAGTGTGAGTGCCATGCAGCTTCGATAACGGTGCCCACCGTTCAAATTTTAACAGACTCAGCTAGTAGATAAAATAAAGATTCTCTAACTGAAGATGACATCTTGGGTTTCAGAAAACGTTTTAGGTTGTTAAACGTTTTTCTGGAATTTTGGGATTTAGTTTCTTTGTCAGAGTACTCCATCTGATTTTCTTGTAAGAAATTAGGTGTTTTATTTTTAACACTTCTAATTTAAAATGACAATATTTACGTGTATTAAAGAAAAATAATTTGGCAAGGTGTATAAAAACAAATTTTGAACTTTTGACTGTACTCTGTAGGTGGAAATTATACAAAATAAATGATATATGTTTCTGGCATTTATCACAAACAAATGTTTCATCAAAATACAACTTTTTTTAAAACTTACCAACTTTTTTTAAATTAAATATTTCGTTGGTTATTAAGATCTCAATTATTTTTCTTTTCTACCCGTTTTTAGATGAAACTTGTAGATCTGATGAATTTACATGTGCGAATGGGAGATGTATACAGAAACGTTGGGTTTGTGACTTAGACAACGATTGTGGAGACAATTCCGACGAACAAGAATGCCGTCCCGTTGTTTGTTCAGAAAATGAATTTCAATGTTCGGAAAAGCACTGCATTACAGCAAGATGGCGCTGTGATGGCGACTACGATTGTATTGATGGGAAAGATGAACAAGTAAAAAAAGAATGAACCATAATTTTAATTTCTATTTTCTATTTAAATTTTCTTTTACTTATAATAGGGATGCCCTAAACCGGTTACAAGTGAATCATTTTGTCCGCCACACGAATTTGACTGTGGGGACAATTTACTATGCATACGTAAAATTTGGCTGTGCGATGGCAAAAACGATTGTCCAAATGGTGCCGATGAGTTACCTGAGCATTGTCAAAATGTTACTTGTAGAGCAGACCAATTTCAGTGTAAAGATCACTCATGTATACCAGGACATTTACATTGTTCCGGTCAAGCAGAATGTCCTGATGGCAGTGATGAAGAAGATTGTGGTAATTATTTCCTTTATAAAATACTTAAACCTATGTAAAATTAGAATTTTATTATTAAATGACAAACGAAAGTAGAATTTTCGAGCGAAACCTATAGCCAACGTAATTTAACTAAAAGGATCAAATTTTCCTTAACAACATTGGCCTCTGAATACTCTATTAATATAATTCTTTTCTAGGATCAGTTGCGGAAAAGTGTAATCTAAAGACCCAGTTTGATTGTGGTGGAGGAAACTGCATACCCTTATCACAAGTTTGTGATAACAAACAGGACTGTCCTGCTGGAGAAGATGAACCAAGAGATAAGTGCAATATAAACGAATGTAATAACAACAATGGCGGATGTTCCCACAAATGTATAGATACACCAGTGGGATATTATTGTGACTGTAACCATGGGTACAAATTGGAGGGCAACAAAACATGTAGAGGTAATTAGTAACATCCTCTATTAAAGTGTTCTTTTTTTAACTCGATGAAGTTTACCTAAATATTTTATATGAAATTTAGGAGTTTGGATTTATACGTATTGTATCATGTTGTTACAACGTTAATTTCTTTTTTATTTTTTCAGACATAAATGAATGCGAAATACCTGGCAGCTGTTCTCAAATATGCATAAATGACAAAGGTACCTTTAAGTGCGAATGCGAGAAAGGGTATATGAGGGATCCCCGTGACTTGACACGGTGTAAAGCTACAGAAGGTCATGCGTCGCTTCTATTCGCACGACGTAGAGATATACGTAAAATATCTTTAGATCATCATGAGATGACTAGCATTGTGAACGATACAAACTCAGCGACTGCACTGGACTTCGTATTTCGTACTGGTATGATATTTTGGAGTGATGTCAACGATAAAAAAATATACAAGGCCCCCATAGATGAAGGTTCAGCTCGTTCCGTAGTTATAAAAGACGATATAACAGCTTGCGATGGATTGGCTGTAGACTGGATCTATAATCACATTTATTGGACTGATACTGGAAAAAATACGATCGAGTTGGCTAATTTTGAAGGTCAAATGCAAAAAACGCTTATTCAAGACAGTCTTGAAGAACCTAGAGCTATAGCAGTTAATCCTCTTGAAGGTTGGATGTTTTGGACGGATTGGGGTAGTACTCCTAAAATTGAGAAAGCTGGAATGGACGGTTCACATAGACAAGTCATTGTTTCTTACGAAGTTAAATGGCCTAACGGACTTACGCTGGACCTTGTCAAGAAGCGTGTATATTGGGTTGATGCTAAACTTAATACTATTTCGTCTTGTGATTATAACGGAAGGGCTCGAAGAGTGATTTTATTTTCTCCTGATGCGTTAAGGCATCCGTTTTCGATAACCACTTTTGAAGACTGGGTATATTGGACTGATTGGGATAAAACTGCTGTTTTCAAAGCAAATAAATTTACCGGAAAAGATATTAGAGCCATTACTGCTCCAGAAATGGTATGTATATTTTTACAACTTCTCTGAAAAAAGTTGTTTTATATTTAAAATTTAATTTTTATTTTTAGATTCAACATCCCATGGTTATTCATGTCTATCATCCATATCGACAGCCCGATGGTGAAAATCACTGTCAAGCTGTGAATGGTCACTGCTCTCACTTGTGTCTCCCGGCTCCAAGAATAAACAACCATTCTCCATTGATCTCATGTGCTTGTCCTAATGGTTTAAGAATGCTACCTGACGGATTGAGTTGTGTACAAGACAGTAAGTATGAAGTAATTATTATTATTACCTATTCTCTATTATGTATTTGTAACATTTTAGTTGACTATTTTTTATTTTCGAACATTATTTAAATAAACATTTATTTTTATTTTTTTTATTTAGAAGAAAATGTTACTGTGCGACAGATCTCAACATCACGTATAGAAATAACAACTCGTTTTATTGAAGTTGAAACAAGTGAGTACAAGAAGTCGCGGTACTGTCCTTGTGCTTCCTCTATGCAGAATTGGTGGTGGAGTTGTTTCTTAATTTTTCCTCTTTTCTTTTTCATTTGTTGATAACGTGTAATTTTCAGATTTCTTACTAACTAGTGTAATTATATGCATTGTGGTTCATTTAATGTACACAGATATTTGCGAAGCCCGAAAAATCACTGAAAATGAACCACTTTGTACTTTTTTTTTCTTATAAGCCGTTATTTTAAACGTCTCTTTTTGATTATTACAGGTACGCCATACAGTGTTCGTGAAGTGGCAGCAATTCATGAAACTTCAGATAACATGACAGTAACCGTAATAGTAATTATGGTAGTTGGTGTAATACTCTTAGTTGTATGTGGGGTAAGCACTTATTGATTTGTAATATAATTTCTTTTTTAGTTATACCTTGATGGCGACTACGATTGTATTGATGGGAAAGATGAACAAGTAAAAAAAGAATGAACCATAATTTTAATTTCTATTTTCTATTTAAATTTTCTTTTACTTATAATAGGGATGCCCTAAACCGGTTACAAGTGAATCATTTTGTCCGCCACACGAATTTGACTGTGGGGACAATTTACTATGCATACGTAAAATTTGGCTGTGCGATGGCAAAAACGATTGTCCAAATGGTGCCGATGAGTTACCTGAGCATTGTCAAAATGTTACTTGTAGAGCAGACCAATTTCAGTGTAAAGATCACTCATGTATACCAGGACATTTACATTGTTCCGGTCAAGCAGAATGTCCTGATGGCAGTGATGAAGAAGATTGTGGTAATTATTTCCTTTATAAAATACTTAAACCTATGTAAAATTAGAATTTTATTATTAAATGACAAACGAAAGTANTCACTAATAAAATATCAAATATTTTTTTTCTTTCAGGTTGTTCTACTGGTATACCGTAACTATATTCATCGTAACATGACATCCATGAACTTTGATAACCCTGTCTATAGGAAGACAACAGAAGATCAGTTCTCCCTCGAGAAGAATATTTCCCAACCAACACGAATATATCCTAGTACTGTAGGTGAAGAGGTAAGAGCCTTAACACTAGATTATGCCAATTTATCTCCTAGATAATCTGTCCATTTTATACGTCATTTAAGAGATAATATTTTAGATGTAAAAATATTTTACTAAAAAATGGTACGAATAAGTTCTAATTATCCTTCATGAACTGGCATCTTATTTTCGTGAAATTGCTCCAGTTTTTTTAACTACGAAATGACGAAAAGGGTTTTACTTAAATAAAATTCATTGTTGCCAAAACCATATAAATACATAAAGTAAAATATGCTTCTTTGAAGGCTAGTGTACCCATTCATTATTATTCTATTAAACTTAATCGAAACAGTGAATAAAAAGAAACTCACTCTACTTATCACAAAGTCTGTTCTCTGTGGACACGTGTTTCGCCAACTAATTTGGGCGTTATCAACGCGATTGATATGATCATCACATTAGGAGTGGAAGAGGCTTTGCGGCAATTAGAGTGAGCTTCGTTTTGGTTCATTTATTTATTACTTTATGTTCATTTTCTACTTTGAGTAATCGAAACACTTTCTCCGCCATTAATATATAAATAAAAAAAGCACTTATTAAGGTTTTAAAATTGTTTATTGATAGTGGTCTTCACTATTTATTTACTTAATTTTTCATGTTTTTATTGACCCAGACAAGATTTTTCACTTTTTTAAAAAACTACATGTGTACATATTTTTATTTAAATTAGGTAGCTTATTATTTTTTTCTTTCTCTTCTATTTCATCGGAATTACAGGGTGGTTAAAATATAATACCGTTATTTACTCATAATTTCTTACTTTCCAATATGGTACTTATTAATTATCGTACATACGTTATAAATAAATGGTATTCATGACCATATTATTGTGGACCGATCGAAATATTTTAAAGATGAATACATTTTCCAAATCAATTTTTGAAAAGTATTTCGTCAGTTCGTAGATGACTCGGTATTAAATAAAAACACTATATGAGCAAGGCCTAATTTTATTAAACAGAAAACGGTATTTGAAATACAAAATAATAAGAAATATAGTATTTGTTTGTTTCCGATGACTTCAGTTCTATTACTGAAAAAAAAACATTTAATCTTAAATATTGATGGTAAAGATGGTGTAGGAAATAGGTGTTTTGTTATAAAATTTTTTTATTAATGTATTACTATGTGTAAGAAATTATACTCAATGTTAATTGGGATATACATATATAATACATATATATTATAAATAGACGCAATTATTTATCAGTATTATAAGAAACGAAGCTCAAAAGATCTTACCGTATTGTGCACAAAATTAGCCTTTTCCGGTTATAAAAAAGTCTTTAAAAGTATTACTTAATATTGAAATTTAAATTAAAATCACATACAAACATAAAACCAATATAACTTGCTTTATAGTACTGGTAGAATTAACGTGTGACGACAGTCATTTTTCAAAATAAACTGAGTCATAATTTATATGCTGCTCAAATACAAATAGGCTATAAACATGATACTTAAATACATTTTTCAAGAATTAACGTTTAATTAATTCAAACTAATGTAAGCTTATTTTGAATGATGACAAACCATTTAGAGTATAGTGCATCAAGCATATCTATTTTAAAAAGTTCATTTTCAACGTTAAAAGTGATTTCTATGATAATGCATAACTTATATTTTCATTATTTCATTCGTTATATATTTTACATGCTACTATGAATGTGGTAAGTAACAAGGGACATTTACTACTTTTTTAAAGTTTTTTTTTTTTTTAATCAATGCAGTGATACAAAATTAGTTGTTTATAGCTCGTATAGTAGAATACTTAATTTTCAAGCAGTTTCATAATTTATTATGTTAAATATATATATATTATTTTGTCTTCAGGCTTCTGAACCTCTAACTGGTGCCAATGCTACCGAGTTTGAATGAATGAAAAAATAATTTATTATCTATTTAAAGCTATAGATTTAATGTAAGTGTATGTACATGTAATTGTAATTGTAAATAATTTTAGTGATTATTAGTATTTTATTTGGCCAAAAAGTGATATTGATTTAATATCTTGTTCATTCCTAGATTTCTTTAATTTTAAAGCCAAAATACTTAAATAGGAGAAAAAACATTGTGCTATAGTTTTTAATATGTTATTTCTGAATGACATTATGAATGTGATTGTGTGTTATTTTTGTTTTTTTTTTTTTAATTATACATATATAGTATAGTATACACACATATAATGCCATCGAATCTGTTGTCAATAGTCATCATATACAAGAAATGTAAATTTAAATATATGTTTTCGTTTTTGATGCTATTTTTATTATCACTATTAGGGTCTTCAGTTGAAAAAAATAAGTCGTCGATGATAAAAGAACTGAATATTTTATTTTGTTATTGTTCTACAACATAAGGCCTGCAAAATTATACAAACACTTTAGTGAGTATTCTTAAAACGATAGAACAAATTTTATCATTTTTCAAAACGCAATTCCTACGTTCTCTGAACAATTAAAAATATTTCACTGATTACACAACCCATTGGCTTTATAGTTGATTTGTAATCGATAGAATTACAAGCAACAATAATTATACATCGTTCAAATATACAATATATTCAATATAAACAACTTACCCAACAGTACCTTAGTAACTATCAATTAACTAAAAAAATGGAACACTGAAAAAATATACTGTACATTTATTGTACTATTGTATAATTTATACCCCTAACATTCGAATAAACCTGGAGAGATAAGGTGTCCAGCAACAGTTTAGATGAGAAACGTTATTTCTAATAGCACTCTCCGAAAATGTCACTCGAAAATAAAAAAAACAGTGACTTAAAGCGAAACACTTCATATACCATACTAACAAAAGTTTTATAATTTGTTTACATAACACTAAAGCAAATGGACCAATATGCATAGCCATCACCCTGCACAGTCAGATACTTTAAAAAAAATCATTAAAATATACATTTGTTTGAAAACTACATTTTAGTTAATGCGTACGTTTGAGATTCTGTCTAGACACCTTAGGGAACAAAAATATATAAAAGTAGTAATAAATCTTTTAAAAAAATATATAAAATAAAAGACTATGAGAGCTTTTATCACTAAAAAATTCAAAATTATAAGACAATACAGCAACTGTAAATAAGATTTCAATTCAGCAGATAATTCATTTAAGTAAAATTGCCAACAGGGGCTATTTATTAATTACAAGCGCTTTATAGTACAGTATTTAGCAATAGAGTTCTTCGTCTTTTTTATTGGTTTAATAAGCTATGAGTCTTTTTTCAATCATCAAATTACATTCTACTTGTTATTTTCGTTTTATAACCAATTGCTCGTTCTGGTTGAAGCTGATAAGAATGAGATTCATTTCCAATGTCGCATTAAAACCATACTACTTAGTTTAACGTAATATTAAGTTATTCAAATTAAGTGATTATTATTTATCTTTTATTATTACCACAAGGGTAATCGTCTGCACCACTGCGTTGTGGCACTGGACTTCGGCCGCCACTACTTAAAGCCATTCGTTGCATTTGTCTTATAACTGTTGTAGCATGATAAGCTTGCTGCAAAACATACGTTTTAACATTATATGAAATACGATGGGAGAAATGTAACATAAGTTTAGAAAAACATAATCATGTATTGTAAGGTATAACCGTCTTTTGCTTTTGAATTATACATCACGAAGGACTTACCTTCCAACGTGATTTTGCAAAATTTTTCTTCAGTTGCTCAGCTACAGTTTCATGGATATTTTTATTACTTGCAGCATTACCAGAAATCCTGCAAATATAATGGAAAATGTTAGGTATCATAAAATAATTGGACAATTAAGTAATAAAGTAAAACTAATATAGTGTATTATACATCAAAACGTAATGTCAAAATTTGAAATGGTATAACGGTTTCTCATCCCTAAAATCGGTATTCTGCTGATATGAGCTTAATACTTGGCCAACACGGTTTAATAAAAAAAAAGGATCATGGTGACTTATTAAACAAAGCAACGAAACAAATAGCATAAAGCACATAATACTGTGAAAACAAAAAGCATAATTTTTACCATGGATGAGCTAAAGCTTGACGACATGTATAACGCTTTTCTACGTCGACACACATTAACTTTCTAATGAAATCCTTAGCAGAGTCGCTTATTTCATCCCAATAGGGAGAATCAAATTCGAATTCTCCTACAAGGAAACGTCATAAAACATGTTTAACTTTAACATAACATTAATTACCTTTAAGTATCTGAGCAAAAAGGTTAGAATCGTTTTCGTCGTAAAAAGGCGGATAGCCGCAAAGTAAAATGTAAGATATTACACCTATACTCCAAACATCCACAGCCTTCCCATATGGTTTTTGGGCAAGAACTTCAGGTGCTATAAGGAAATTTCAGTAATTTTTAATTATTTGTTATTCAGCAAAGACAATTGAATTGCCTGTAAATAGCCTTATCAATAAAATATTAATGTATTTTACCAACATATCCAGGAGTGCCACAAGCCGTCGCCATTATACCAGAATCCTCCATCTTAGAGAGCCCAAAATCACTTATCATTATTTTACTGTTTTCATCAGGATTATAATACAACAGATTTTCAGGCTGAAAACAAAAAATTGATTACAAATAAAATTAGAAAGTAATGTCAATTTATGTTTGTTTATCTACAACATTACAGATCTTGTATGTGCTTTTCTACAGGAAACTTGTTTCCTGAAAATAATACAATTATTGCAACATAGTACCGAACACATTGAACATTGTAATATCTTAACATTTTATTCAAGATGCTTCTTTTATCTAGTTTTCAATATATTATGTACCTTCGTTCAAATATTGTAGTTATAACTATATGAAAACCATTTAATATATAATAATTGTAACAGTTATACTCTGGAGGCATATTGTAAACGTAAAAAAGCTTCAATTAGTAATTCAAACTTCAAACAGTAAAAGGAGTAATAATTCTAGACCAGTTCTGTGGAACACATTACTGCCCTTCTAACGTTTATTTTAATTCCGAAATGCCGTTCATAATCGTGACATAATTTACATTTCAGGATGTTCCACTATACCATATAATTATTTAAAAACAAACAAGCTCAAACTGGTTAATATTGATATTATTGAATTAAATGTTTTTATCAATCAACAGATTATTGCTAGTAATTTTAAATAAGTCATAGAACGTTCATGCTTCAGATGTGGTAATTAAGCTACTTATTTAGTGCAATGCAAAAAGCAGGTTTCTCACCGAGCTAATAAGCCGTACCTAGGTAACCATATGACATTTTTTTAAGTATCTTCCTTTTTTTGAAGTCATTGCTCGATTGATATTGTTAGCTAATTGAGCAATTTTTCAAAAGCATATAAAACTTTAGCAAGAAAAACTTTTTGTTTCAAGCGAGGTAACTTACTCATTATCACAGCAATGTAGGGATGTCAATTACACCAACCACAGTGTATCACAATTACTTGGTTTATTACTTAATACTATGTAGGGACTGTTACATTTATCCCAGCTTTCTGTAAAACTAATTTTACTATTAGATTGGACTGAGTTACCTACTTGACATCACATCTCTATTTAGTTTGCATATGCAATAATATTATTCATTTATTTTATTTTCTGCCCCCTCAAATGTAACAATTTTTGTACTTGTGATGATATCCTTTCAAAAACACATACCTATACACATAAACAAAATAGATCTTCATTGTGGTCGTCGCAATATTATAACTACTATTATTCTTTTGGTGAGAATGATTTTCAAATTAAGTAATTTGTAAAATACCTTCAGATCTCGATGTACAACCCCTTGTTCATGCATATAGTCAACAGCCTCCAAAACTTGTCTAATTAAGTCAGCAGCATCCTTTTCAGTGTATGAACCCTTTTCAACTATACGGTCAAAAAGTTCACCACCAGTGACTCTTAAAAGTAAGTGAACAAGTGAAAACTATTAAAATTTTTACCTTTATTTACTTACAATTCCATAACTAAGTAGACTTTATTTTTATCCTCAAATGTTTCAAGTAGCTGCACTATATTAGGATGAACTAACCTAAAACAATGAACATTAAGATATGATATTAAGTTCAAAAGATAACTTACTTTCTAAGAACTTTAATTTCATTCTCTAATGAGTCTTCTTTGCCTTTGAGTGCTTTCTTGTCTATTATTTTTACAGCATATAGCTCACCTGGTCTTTCTTTACTTTCAGCCAATCTTACTACTGAGAAAGCTCCTCTACAAGATTTAAAATTTAAAGAATTTCAACATTTTGAGTTGAATTTCGTTAACTTACGTTCCGAGCATATCTTTAAGAACATATTTCTCCTCAATCAAAGATTGTTTATCAGAATCTTTCCCATCTTTCTTCACCTTCTTCTCAGAATCCTTTTTTCCAAATAAAGGCATTGTAATTGATAATCTAATAGATTTTTTTATTTTTTAACTATTAATTTACCATACATCACTAAAATCTTCATGTATTTTACACCTGTTGGTTTGTTATTGCAAACTAGTATGCATAACGTGTGTGTAAGTGTGTACTAAATATGTACGCAAACTTGTTATCACACTACTACTTTTGCTGATTGTATAAGTTGTATAAGACTACAAGACAAACAATATTTACTATAGCTTGTAATAAAAATAACATTCATATTCTAATTACACAAATACAAATTGGTAGCTACATAATCAATATTTATAAAATAATTACCTTAACAAGCATTAAAACTGACAATTTTATTTTATAAATGTCAAATACGGTCACAATAACCGATTTTTGTTTTTCATTTTATGTAAAGAGCTTGGCAACACTGGGCTTGGATTTAGATATGTACCATTACTGACCATTACCACACATCACTTACAAAAATGTAACGTAGTAACCAATGGTAGTAACGTAATTAAAATAATCGAAACGGATTTAAACTTGAAAAACCATTAGAAACAAGGTAAATATTTTGGAGCGTTGCAAGTCAAAAAAGGTATTGAATGTACATGGACTATGAACATTAAAATTAAAAATTTACACGATATTGAATATAAAATAATGATCGCGTTAAGATGTCAAAAGGTGCAGAGTTATGCTGTTTTTGGCTTTTGGCCATGCTTTTGGCATTGATTCAGGAAGTTGCTCTTTTTATGGTATTCTTGTATGTGTATTTATGATATATTAGTATTCCTCTACGTTTATAAATACTTATAATATAATAATATTGTTCTGAATATATATCATTCTAGTTGATCGTATTGTATTAATAAGTATTCTAATAGTAAATGAATTTTTAAAAGTAAATGTTTTTGTATAAGGTAAATTCTAATTCACCAGTATTTTTGGTTAATGTTATAGCATTACTTGTGTCTAAAATATAAAAATAAATAGCGGGATTGCAAATTGTATGGAGACTACGAAGGCAACACTTTACTCAACACTGTACAAAGGGTTGCATATATACTACATTAAAGAAGACATTGCAACCCATTGAACTAGTTGCAACCATACCATCAAAGAAAAAAGCAATCATAGATTAATACAGTCCTAACAATTAAATCTCTAATCTATGATACCGACAACAAGAAAACTGCCATTGTGTGAATTTTAACTTTACCCGTAAATTGTGCGTCGTTTGCGGGTTCTAAATATGTAAGTATCATAATTGTGCAGCCATTAGTTTTGTTATAAAAGGAAAATTGTTTCGAGTACAGGTGGAAATTTAATGTCGATTTATTCAAAAACTACTGAAGATATCGTAATTTAATTGATACCAATCAATTGCACGTCATTTGTGCTTCAAAACTGAGCTATTACAGTAAGTGGAATTTATCTTTATATCATTTATTAGTAATAATTACATAATATACTTAATTTTTCATTGATATTACTAATACGCGTGAACCATTGGCGAATCATAGATAATAATACGTTCATAGTAATGTCATTGGAAAGCTAAGTATTATTTATAATTGTTACTAATGAATAATTTAAAAATAAACTCTGCTTGTCTTGACAGATCAATCTTCAAACACAAAATGACGCGCAATCGATTGGCATCAATTAAATTATGATATATTCAGTAGTTTTCGAATAAATCAATATTGAACTTCCACCTGCACTCCAAGCAATATTCCTTTTTCTTTAAGAAGTAATGGATACGAAATTATGATACTTACATATTTAGAACCCGCAAACGACGCACAATTTATTGGTAAAGTTTGAATTAATGATTATTTATATCGATTGCCAGATTCACTACACTTCGTAGGTATATATATCTATATATCTAATCTATGATCATTGCCTTCATCATTACCCTTTGTGTATCTATTATCTATGGCCTTCATAGATAATAAATTTTCATATTGTTGTAATGGTTGCAATTCTTGTTGCAGGTGCAGCTTGCAGTTGCATTTGTGAATTGTATTGATAATGCTGTGTCATGTAAACTAATAAACTAATGAACATCATAAATACAATAGTGAATAATAACATAAAAATGCAAATACAAAGTTACTTATTTAGTTTCAAAGGTCATAAATCAATTTCATTTTGAGACAGTCTAAGGATGGATTTTTAAATTTGCTGCTATTATGTCACAGTTAACACAGAATTTTAAGTGGTATGAAAAGTTTACTGCATTCATTGTTTCTACATCGGAAACTGCTTTTGACAAGTAAGTAGTAGGTGTATTATTCGTTATAAAAAACTCATTTTATTTTAAATCAGCTTAGGTTATCAAGTTGCTTCTAAACCATGGTGGACTATTGGATTGTGTTGGTTGTTTGTATTTTCGAGTGCTTTAGGCTTCTTAAAGTTTCACCAAGAAAAAAATCCATTTAAACTATGGGTCCCTTCAAAATCTGAATTTTCTATTAACACACAATGGCTATTTAATAAGTTTGAAAATGCATACAGAACAGAAGGATTTATACTAGTGGCTGATGATGTTCTCACTCCAGAAGTTTTATTAACTGTAGTAATTTTCATAAAATAATTTTGGTTAGTACTTATTTGCTTATTGTAGGTTGCTGAAATTGACCAAAAAATTAAATCAGTGATAACATCAGAAGGAATAACATTCAAAGAAGTATGCTTTAAGTAAGACTCTTTTAAGTAATACTGGACTTATATAACTAATTTTGTATAGAATTCCAGAAATTGACATTGATATAAATTTACTTTTTAAATCAAGAAACTCCAAAAATGGAAACGATTCATTTTTTGATCCATCTGTTTATTTTAACTCTGCTACATACTGCAAATTAGTAGAGTCGTTTTCACAGGAGTGTTTGCAAAGAAGTATTTTAGAGCTATGGAATTTCGATATTGAGAAAATTAAACAGCTTAGTAAAAAGGAAATAATAAATAAACTCAACTCTAATAAAAATGAGTAAGTGTATACCAAGTTGTGGCTATGGGCCTCTTCAAATTCTTTTGGAAAGTTTATTCAAAAAAGGAAGCACCAACTGAACATTATCTGTTTTAAATGTGCTAATTTCTGCTCTTCTGTTGTCAACCTATAGTTACAGCATTCGCTTATATTATAATGTAATTAAATAGTAGAGAACAGCATTTAACAGTTTTGATTGTGTTTAATTCTCTTAATGAATGTAATTAAATTACAGCTTCTTGTTTGGTAATTTCAAAAATTATACCGAGTTGTTGGGTAATATTGAAACGAATGAAGTTGGTGAAATTGTAAGTGCCAAGGCCCTACATATTTTTTATATGCTTCATGTGAACTTTTCTGCTATAGACATTGATACATTTGGTAATACAGCTGGCACAGCAGATTGGGTATGTAGTATTAAAAGGTGTTTTAATAAAAATGATAATAGAATGAATTTTTAATTTTTGGTAAAGGCATCAGAAGATGGTTTAAAATGGGAAAATGAATTTTTAAAACTCATGGAATCAATTTCAAAAAATTTGACGTCTTCAAAAATTTACTATGAGTCAGCTCGTAGGTATAATTTTGTGTATGTAATTTGAAATAGTATTTTAATGAATAGATTAATTTTAGTTTTGGAGATATTAGTAATGGAACTATGTTCCAAGATATTGGAATACTAATTACTGGTATTTTTGTAATGGTGTTGTATGTCCAATTAGTCATATCAAAATTTAATTGGGTTGAAGCTAGAGTAAGCTTTTTTTTTATGTAATAAAATAATCACTGGATTAATTTATTGTACAGATATTATTGGGGGCACTGGGACTTGTACCTGTTGGGATGTCATTTATTGTAGCATGTGGTCTTTGTTCATTGATGGGTGTTTCTTACGGTCCAGTACACACTTCTTTGCCTTTTTTGTTAATGGGTTTGGGTAAGATGGTTCTATATTGTGTCTAGTTTACTATTATGTATGTGATGTAAGATAAAAGTAGCTTTTTTGCAGAAGACAAAAGCCACTTCATTCTGTTTCTGTTTGATATAAAAGTTTTGTATATTTTTTTGGAACTTTTGTTTAATACTTATAATTAATTTGTTGATCTAATTTATAGGAGTGGATGATATGTTTGTGATGATGGCAAGTTGGGACGATTTACCATCACATGTTAAGCGGTTGCCTTTAGAAAAGCGAATTGGGCACATGCTGAAGCATGCAGGAGTCTCCATAACCGTTACGACATTTACAGATGTTGTTGCATTTTTAATTGGCTCATCAACGGTGGGTAATAAAAAATAATATCTCTTAATTTGAATATTGTCGTACTTTTCATTAGCAACAATTATTATGTGCATTTTCAATGAAGTATTATATCAAAGAAAAGTAACATAAGCATGATAGCTACATGAGTGTTTGGTAAGTGTTATTGTTTCGTAGCTATTATTTCTAGTCAGGGAAATACAGGACTCAGAGACGAAAGATAATATAATACGAAGTAGAGTTTATAACGATTAAATCGCAAAATTAATGAGTAACAGTAACACCTGCAGTGCACTATTGTTCGAAGTTGGGCTTGCAATACCTACATGAAGAATGATTGGTAAATTCACTTGGAATTGATAATTTTTATAATATCACTAACTAGTTGCTTCAGCTATCTAGTATTGAATACACTGTAAATTGGTTGGGTGACTGTCTAGTAATAATAATAAGATCGACATCTTACCAACATCCAACATAATTTTTCTGAAAGCTTAGCCTTAGCCTTCGCTCGGTTATGATAACCATGAAAGCATATTTCCATTTTTTTTTGTTATTTACTCATTTTACAACTTTTAAATTACAGTGATTTATTTAAACAAATTATATTTTTCTTTTTAGATACTTCCATGTTTGGAAACTTTTTGTCTTTATGCAGCTGCTGGAGTTTTTATGACGTTTGTATTTATGGTAACATTTTTTACTGCTTGCTTTACTCTCGACCAGAAAAGACTCGAAAACATTAGAAATGGTGTCCTTCCTTGCATTAAATATAATCATTATGAAAAAAACGAATGCAGTCAACAACGATTATCATATCAAATATTTCAATTTGTTTATTTAAAATTTTTTTTTACACTGCCTGGTAAGGTAAGAATTTTTAAATTTCGTTTAATGTAAATATTTTAGATAAAAACTTAATATCATTGATTTTATTCTGCTATTGTGTATACACTAACATTAATTTAATTTGTAGATCTTGGTAATCATAGTAACTTTGTGCTGTTTTGGGTACAGTATTAGAAGTACATTAGATCTGCAACAAAAATTTGACCCAAATTGGTTTATTCCCGATAACACTTACTTAGGAAAGTACTTAGAGCAAAAAAAGAAATATTATCCATTATTAGGAAATGAAGGTGCATATTTTATGGGTGCATTAAATTATACTCATGAAATGCACAACATTAAGACTGTGGTGGATACCTTAAGAAATTATTCTTCTATTATTAAGATAAATTCTTGGGTAGACCCGTTTTATAATTTTGTGAAACATCATTTTAAAAAAGGTAAAAATGTATGGTAATTGAGTTTATATTTTACGAAATGTTTATATCATTACAGATGTATATGAAGACGACTTAACGGATTTTGAATTCAATAATTTCTTAAGTAAATTTCTTTTTAGTCCACAAAATGCAAAATTTCAGGCAAATTTTGGTTTTGCCGCCCCGTTAGAATGTGGAATTCCCGTTTCCCAAATAAAAGTATTTTTTGAATCATTTCATTTTAAAAATAATACATAGGAAATTTTAGTGGTCAAGTGTTAATTTTTGGTTTAAACGTTTTTCTGGATCAGCGGAATACCTTCCTGTTATGCATCAACTAACTGATATGGCAAATCAAGCGAATTATACAACAGGTGATCGAATCTCTATAGTGTGGTCAAAAATGTTTGCCACGTGGATTACTGATGAGGTAAAACGAATTTATACAAGAGAGAAAAAGAGTATTAATTAAATGTTATTGACAGTTAATTGATATTGAAGTAATGAGAAACTTACAGTTAGCTTTATTAAGTGTGATGGTATGCACTGTACTTCTCATAGCGAATTTGCAAATGTGCTGTTGGATACTTCTATGTACTCTGTTAACAATAATAGATGTTTGTGGATTTATGCAAAATTGGGACGTATCAATCGATATGGTAGCATGTATCGGATTGGAGTTGGCTATTGGACTATGTGTAGATTATTCAACACATATAGGACATACGTTTCTTACTACAGAAGGTTCTTCACGTGAACAACGTTCTTTAAAAACTGTTTGTACAATAGGTTCAGCGGTACTATATGGTGGATTTTCATTTTTCATTGGCGTTTCAATGCTTGGAACCTCTACAGCTTACAGTTTTCAAGTATTTTTTAAGGTAAGGCATATGTATATCCATGTTTCTATTCTGATGTTGTTATTTTCAATATTTAAACTTTAAATATTGTTTGGAGATCTGTGGGAGCTGTTCCTGGAGTCTTTTACCTCTTCGTTGCTCTTGCAAGTCATCCAAAATTTTAAAAGTTCAAAAAACTGCTGATATGTAAATAGAACAACTAAAATTGTTAGTTATTAATTGTGTTTTATTTTAGATATTTGTTTTGGTTTTGATATTTGGACTTTTTCATGGTGTTGTTCTACTGCCTGTACTTCTTTGTTGGTTTGGACCAAAACCGTATACAACCCATCACGAAATACCACAAACAATTGAAGATTCAAAGTAAACTGCTCCATTTGTATATAATGTAAATTATAGAGTATTACATGTTTTTTGTGGTATTATTTTGTATTAAAAGTGAATATATTATTATAAAATAATTACTTTGATCTCTGTGTTAACGTAGAGTCTTTAAACAAATAGGATTGGTTCTAATTAGCGTTATGGGAGTCGATAAATTATGAATTAACGCCGTGTATTTATACAGGAATCGACCATCAAATATTTTCTTATTTAAAGAAAATCTGTTTTGGTCGTCAGATTCTGTTTACAAACTTGGCGAGTATTATTTCTAAGACCGTAATGAATAATGAGATAAAATTCTGTTCACTGATGCCTCATTTAATATACTTTAAATTAATTTATCAAGAAATGAAAACGACCCTTTTAAATTAGCGGTTTAAATTTCATCCCGGTAACTGCCAATTATACAATGCTATTCATCAATTAATACGTTTTGGTATTTCCTGGTTGTTTAGTAAGAGAGAGAAACCAATATATCATGAAAACATGACGCTTTTAAATTAGGGGTTAAATGTGTACCCTGGTTATTTTTTCAAGTATAAAATTTTTTTCACAGATGTCTAACACAAATTTGGTACCTTTTGACAGGCCGTTCAATTAATTTATCAAAAAATAAAGATGACGTTTTTAAATTGGCAGTTGAAAGTGTATCCCAGTAATTTCCAGTTGTAAAATTTGTTTCAATGATGCGCCGCAGCTTCAATACATTGGGTACTTTCAGCTGCTTTAGTAAGGGCAAATTAATTTTAAATTTAAAGAAGATGTAAGAAAATGAATCTTATCTTAAGAAACCTTAAGTAAAAGCCGACTTTTCTTTATAAATCTAATGTGCAGTCTGAAATATTTTTATGGCGTTGGCTTGTAAGGAAAGTTCTCTCATAAGTAAGCGAATTATTTTGAATTTAAAATAAAACAAATTGTACGTTCGTGATTGGTCGCCCCTTGTATAGGCAACCTATTGTACTGCTGAGTATTAAACCTTGTGATGATAATAAAGTACCCTCTACAGGAAACTTGTTTCCTGAAAATAATACAATTATTGCAACATAGTACCGAACACATTGAACATTGTAATATCTTAACATTTTATTCAAGATGCTTCTTTTATCTAGTTTTCAATATATTATGTACCTTCGTTCAAATATTGTAGTTATAACTATATGAAAACCATTTAATATATAATAATTGTAACAGTTATACTCTGGAGGNTTTTTAATTGTTCCTTTCCGTAAGATTCATAGCATGTAGTAGCAGAGGGGCTTAAGTACCGATTGTTTGGAAATACAAGTTGTTTGGGACCTCGCGGCATCAGGGGCCATCTAAAATATTTTTTACGATTAGTAGTTTTTAGTGGGTATAGAGACTTTAGAGAAGAAAAATTAGTTTGTTCATTATTTTCAGATTATGGGCTTCAACTAAAAAAATTATCTGGGGCCCCGTTTCTAAAAATATTTCAAGCAAATATTCACAGACTTAATACCATTAATTTTTGTATCATTTATGATTATGAGATAAAGCGCCAAAAAAACTCATGATAAAATCAATTCGGGGGCAGTTGCGGTATTTTTGTAAGTTCTTATATTTTCAATAGAACTATTTTAGGCATTCTTTTTTAGGGGTTTCTCTTCAAATTTTAGACTTAGGTCTCACTCCAATTAAAATCGACACTGAGAGCTGGTTAGTAATGGGGATATTTGACCGAAGTATGTACCTACTATGTAAGTACTTACTGTAGTTTAAAAGGTACCCAGTATTATTACAATACCAAGTATAAGTTAATATTGAGACGCTATTTAATCGCTAATTGTTAAGATTTTAATTTTTTATGCTGAGTGGCTTACTAATGGAAATATATATTCAGTTAATTGGTAACCAGGGAGAGGCATTATTAAAAAACGAAATCATTAAATTGATATTTGGACCTTTTGAAATATTGATGAAATTTGGCTTCATCATCTAACAATTTCTTATAAATACAACGTGAAAAATTCGTCTTCAGTTAAATTCAGCTGTTAAATAAAACAAATAATAAGTTGATTGTAAATGTTTAAAAGGATGACCCACTTATGATTTCATCTATTTCATCTTTATTATCGGAAATATTTATGTCAGAGTTTGAAAACCAATTATTTAAATAATAATAAAATAGGGTTCACAATAGAAATAGAAACAAATTAGTGGCGTCAGATTAAATTTTTTACTTCGGGAAACTTCTATCAATATTCATCTGCTTTGATTCGCGGTGCATCGGTCGCCTGCCACGTTGGACGTGGACCGCCGAGCTCACGAGCTGTACAAAAGTGGTTGTAACTTTTAATTGAGAAAAGCAAATGGCATTAAACAAATTGGATGTTAAAAAAGTATTATTTTTAAAGTACTGAATGTATTTAAATATACTCTGTCAATCTGAAGCTTATGAATGCAGTTCAAGGAAAAAGAAAAAATTTGTGATAGTTGGAATGTTTTACGGTTAAAAAAAGCAAAAAAGAAATATTATTCACATGAAAATTCTGAAAATTAGAGTATAAATAAAGAAATAGTTAAAATATCCAATATTCAAGCAAACCTGATACGTGGAAGTAAGATGTTTAGTAACCATCTTTCAAATATATAAGTATAGAATAATTATAAAAATATAATANAGAATAATTATAAAAATATAATAAATATGTGTAGATAATAAAAAAAAGTTAAGGAAATTTCAGAGCGCCTAACAGAAGCTGAAGATGTAAAGAATATGACAGATGCTTTTATATTTCATGTTATTTTATTTTTTTTATATATAATATACCGTGATCGACCATTGTGGCTCCGACTTTATGAATTTATTTTAATTTATTTTCTACGCTTTTCGATTTGTGTTGCCGATACTTTTTAAGTATAAGTTGTTTTTGAGCAAAATCTCAAGACAGTGGTTCATCTTTCTGTAGAGGGGTCTTGGTACATAAATGTGAGCAAAAAAAAGAGTTTGTTTAATATACATCTTCTAGAAGATGCGTGATGAACTCATTAATTGATGATAACAATAGTTAGTTAATTATAGAGTCCACTTTTTAGCTGAAATGTGTTCTGGCCTTCATCTATTTTAAACGTATGCGCCTAAACAAATTTAAGAATTGTTTTCTTTCCGTCTGTTAAAACGACTATGTTTAATCTCAAGGCATTCAAGATCTCGAAACTTGTAAAAAAAACACATCATGCAATTTACCTGAAGGCATAATGTATAACCTTGAGCTCGAATCGCGGATACCAGGTATATCAAAATGACGAAAGACATAATTAGCTTATATGAATGGTCACGAAAGACCTCTTAGAACATTAGGTGATAGTTTGATTTGTCAATTGTCGTGCTAAACATGAACTCCTTATTGACACTCCTGCTTTTCTATTTCTTCTGTTTCTGTTCAGGTTAGTGAGTCGCAAACTTTTTTCGAGACTACTCTTAGTATCACTTCTATTTCATCTTTTGCAGTTTCTGCTATTCAAGTGTCTTCTAAATTAGATTTTGGACAAAAAGGCACTTATAACGGGGAACCATCTTTTGGCCAAAGGAGAGTTAAAACTCCATCGGTTCCTCTTATAGTTAATCAACAAGATAACGAAGGAGACAAGACCATAAAACCACTGACAGTAGTATGCCTTTCTACCGAATGTAACCGAAAAGGTAAAACAACTGTTGTACGAAATGTACCGAAACCTGACGTGGTAGTGCAAGTTATAACTGACTCCGGAAATAAAAATACAAGTGAAAAAAGCTATGTTGAAGTTCCGGATGTGCCCGTTATTCTCGGAACGAAGGGCGTTCCCTACAATTCCAATCCCAGGAATAACGAAAACACATACTCTCGTCATTTAACAGACCAGCGTCCACCAGTGACAGAAAAAGTTTATATTCCTCTGTTTGGCTCCAGTGTACTAGAAGCTCCGACAACTAGAAGATATAGAAGCACTTCGTTTGAAGATCTCTTTCCGTATTACAAAACTCCAAGTTATGAACAGACTCCTCGACACATTGGGCAAACTTATGTCCACACTGGTATGATTCGCAATAATGGATTTCAACGCGTAAATAACAGACACGAAGAAGGAAATTTACCTGTAGTGACTGAAACTTTAATATGTACTTACCAAGATGTTAATCACGAAAATCCATATCCAATAAATTATAATAACTGGAACAATTTTATTCGCAAACCGATGATTCACAATTCTCCAAGGTACCGGCCACCAAAACCAATAACTTGGAATGTTTTCGAGAGTTCGAATACATTAAATTACCAACAAAGATCGAGTGATTTGTCAAAAAGACTCGGTATAGATAATAAACTTTTACCCTTAGATTGACGGAATGTTATATTAGTTGATGATGTGATGTGAAATCAAAATAAATTACTTAATATAAAATATGCAAATATATATCTTTATTTTTTACGTAAAAACAATGTAATTAAACGGTTATGGATTGTGTGCAGAGTAGCTTGAGACTTTTCCGTTATCATTGACTGTGGTGGAAGCCTTTTGCCTGGTCACAGGTTTGCCATTGCTATCGGGTAATGTTTCGCTAAAACTAGACGTGAAAACTCCATACGACCCTCCTTTGCCTGTGTCAGCTCCGAATCTAGTGTTAACATTTGGAACACTCTGAAATAAAAAGAAGCAGGTAAGTAAATGGCTTTCATCAGGACTGAAGTATTAAAAGTTCTCAGTTTGCTTCAGTCCCTGAAGAAGGCAAGTTTGTTACCGAAAAGTGCTTCGAACAACTACAGTGTCGAGTTTTGGCGTTGGGGTTTTGAGCTATTCTGTTTGTTCTTGAATACTTGCCGAACTTAAGCACTGTTTGCGTTTATAATTTAATAATGTTCAATAAATTTGACGAGATAATCCTTACCGGATTTTGTGGATAGACTGATGCTGATTGACGAACTTGTCCATTTCCAATATAACCGGAGGCGGATGCCGCACCTCCGTTTCCGTCGCTGAATCTAGATTCTACGCCTGGAATATTTCCAGGGTTAGCGAACGAAGATGCAGTATGAATATTATTTCCAATACTACAAATATTAAATTTTATTGAGATTACCTCTTTCTTCGTACATGTCGTAACAATAGATAGGTACAATACCTTTCTTTAGGTTTTAATATAGGAAATAAAGAAGAAGCGGCAGATTTAGCCCAACCACCATTCGCAGTGGCCGAATACGAGTATGACAATGTGCCTTTTGAAGAAGTCGCACTAGGAAAGGATGCTGATGAAAATCAAACAGATGTAATGGTAGCTTATTAAAAATAAGGTAAGTTTCCAACTTGAATGTTAACGTTGAAAGTACTTGGTTTTGTTAGATATGTTTACGTCACCGTCAAATCTAATTTTTAGTAGAAGCAGTTTCGCTTTGTTATTAAGCTTAATTCAGTAAAGGTTTTAATCTAATAACATATATGGATGGGCTCAAAATAATTTTCCATTCCATTATCTTTTATTCAAGAACATCAAATGTGCTTGATATAACTAAACCGCGTTTAGAAATTCAAAGTATTATCTTCAGTCAGAGACTCTAACTGATGCTGACATCTTGATGGAATCCCGTTTTAGGCTTGTTACACGTTTTTATGTGAAATATGGGGTTTTAGTGTTTTATGTCTTATTTTTAAGGTAGATAATGGTACGAGACGTACGTTTTTCATTTTAAATCTCATTTCTCGCAAATTTTCGAGACTATGTTCATGGGGTTAATAATCTGTATGGAGCTAGGTGAAATTATTTTAGAATATTCGTTATCATGCGTAAAACCCATATTACAGCGGTTCCTAGCCTTTCCTTGACCTTTGTTGTTCGCAGCGACCGCGGTGTAAAGAAAAACAAACTGAATCAATCCGAAAAATAACTCAATGTAACTTGCATTAACAATATTGTTTTAATATTTTATTGTTATATTAATTTTTTTTTTGGAAAATTATAATAATTTTGAATCAATGTAAGTTTTGAGCTTGCAACTTCTGCACAAGTTCGGTAATCCTAGAACTAATATTATTACTGAAAGCTACACGCAAATCATCATTTATTTTCAAGCAATTCCTGCCCTTGTTTTTAATTACCAACAAAGCAGAAAACCTTTGTTCGCATAAATAAGTTGTCGAAAAAATCATTATTACGACGCGCGGTGTATCGCTCGAAAAATTCGAAATTGTTTGCGGACATATTTTGACTCCCGCGGATCACTAGTGGTCCGCGGACCATTAGTTGGGAACAATTACTATAATTGGATATTGAAGTTAGATTAAAATGTTAGATGTTATGCATTATTGGAGTTTGGAGTGACTGTTAGTTTTCGAGTTTTCTGGTCGTCGTCGATTAAGCCTTTCTATTAATGTTTTTTTTTTACCAGAAAGAATTAATAATTGGTAAACTCACAATAATTACTTCGCCACGCTGTATTTTTTTTCAAATGGAAGAATGCATTGTGTTTTTCTGTTAGTAATGGAGTTACGAGAAACAAAAGTCTTATTCAAAGTAAAATAGCTTGCAATTGAGAAACCTTGAAACATTTAAAAAGAATCCTTAGGGAGAAGGCTGCTTAACTTACTTTGCAGCTAGTTCGTCATTGAATCGTCTCAAGTTGTCGAAATAATCTGAAAATAGGGGGTTAAAATTAAATACTGGGAAGTAGGGGATTCCAAAGGGGATTGCTGAAGGGTTTTGACTATTTCCTGAAAACGAATAAGCGAAACCCTGATCTCCATTCACTTCGTTTTGTCTTGCGTCCCCTAAAATGGGATTCAACAAGAAATATTAGAAAATATTAAGAATGTGAACATTACGTCATCGTGTACTTTGTGCTGTGTTTTGCTTGTTTGTGTTTTCGTGCGTTTTGAATGGAGATTGGATTTTGTGTTATCGTCGTCGGCAACCTAAAGCTAATTAAAATGAAAATATTTAAATAGACTTAACGTTAAAAACTGTTAAAAAGATTAAAAAATATCATATTTTTTTTAGTACAGTAATCCCTTACGTACAATTGTTGAATAATGTTGTGTCTGTTACTTTTGTTTATATGTATGTATACAAAGTTATTTAAGATTGCTGGTCTATTAGAAGTTTTGAAATAATTTAAAGGAAAAGTGCTACTGTACGAGTTTTTGATAATGCTTCATTAAATTAGAATTATTTTATCATGAAGCAACTTCTGGTTATAGTCATCCATTTCTGAGATATGTTTAAAATTTCAATAAGTATACAGTTTATCAAAAAGTTAGTCTAAAATTGCAAAATTTGTAACAACAACAACAGACAGATCGACAAGACAGTGAATTAACATTGGCGTTGTCGTCCAGTTCCAAGCTAGGTGTGTATACGAGGGCGGTTCAATAAGTACCCGTGTTACAAATGAAGACATCTTTTTTTTAGTTTTTTTTTTATTTTTCAACATAGTCCCCTTTTAGGAAGATACACTTCTCCCAACGGCCCTGCCATTTTTTTTACCCCTCCAAAAAATCCCCCCTGTCTCGGCGATGATCTCCATAAACAGTATCCAACTTTGCTTTCATCTCCTCGCATTTTTTCCCATCCAAAAACAAAAAACGAGTTACCGAACGATACTGCTCTTTTCCATCTTAGCGAAAATAACGAAACACGTCTCAGTCGAATGGCTGCCAAATCGAAACTAACCTATCAATCAGTCTGAAATTCGTTTTGGCGTGGTTTGATAGATGGCAGCACACGATGACAACACCAATTTCCCTCAGGAACGTCCTCCGTCTTCAAACACGGGTACTTATTGAACCGCCCTCGTAAAAGTTACTAGCTCATTGGGAAGTTAGTTTTAAATAGATTGCAAATCTTCTACTGTACGTACAAACAGATAGACAGACAAGAAAGTGAGTTAATAAAAACGCGGTAAAATTAATAATCTTGTTTGTATGTATATTTCAATGCAAATTGTTTTCGTTTTCATAAGTACAAGTAAACTTATCACTAGTTTTGGAGAAGAAATCGCGCTTATTCCTTATACACAGAGACCTGGTGTCTTGTGGTGTTCTCTTCTGATTTAATACCGGGTTTTTAAGGTTGATAATTTACTTCTTGATAAAGATAAAAAGTTTCTTGACCGATTCACGCTTTCCGGTTGGGGTTAAAATTAAAATTAAACTTGAAAAAAAAGTGTTTCTTTACGTGATGCTACATTACATTCCTTTGTAATGTAAGATAGTTAAAGGTGATTTAATTCCTAGTACTGAAAGGCTGTCCAAAGGGCTCGAACAGTTACGTGTAGTTGTAGAAAAAGAAATGTAAAATTCGCCGTTCTCAAATTGTATACCAATGAAATAACCAAAAGACATTGAAGTTTCTTGTAAAAAAAATGACATGAATCTTTCGTTGGCACAAGAGTGAATAAATCAATTGTATCTTTAACAACATCAAATGGAAATAACAATTTTCCACCTACAACCGGAAAACTTTTACCATTCTCATCAAGGGGTAAATTATTGTCTGTCAAGAAGGCATGCAATTAAATTTGGAGAACCCCACTTGGAAATTGGGAACCACGAGGATCATGTTAGGGATATTGTAAAAAATATCGTATTTTCTTTCCTTGGTGCGTAATGTAGGTACTATTCTAAATTGTGTGGATACTTTCTAACGTCTAATAATAAACCACCAAACTTAAAAGAGCAATTTCTTGTTCAGTTTGTTGTTGTCCTAACTGTAAGTATGTATTGTATGAAACATATTTATTTTGTAGACTTTTCGTGCGACATAGAGGAAAACTACATAAGTAGATCCGCTAGATGTTGACATTTGTTTGCAATAAATAGAAATAGATACGAAAATACGTATATATGTTTATGTAGATATATAGTTTTGTTTATAGCTTATTTCGAGAAACCTTTCTTCTGTGATATTTTTTACACTTAAATTACACATTGGAAAATAATTTATTCAAATGTTAATTTATTGATAAAGTTTGTAACAGACCATTGGTGTGATTTATCGTAAAAGCAACATCTCATATTCATATTTCGTAAAATATTATGTTTAGTAACACTAACCTTGATATTGCTTTCCATATCTATTCGAATAAATTTTGATGTTACTTGCTAGCATTGGTAAGTATCTACCATCTATGAAAATCTTTTCATTTAATGTAAAATAAGTGGACGCAACTACGTATTTTGACCAGGGATCAGTTTACGTATCAAATTTCAATGCTTTTACCAAACTTGATACAAATGAGATAAACATAACAAATCAGATAGGTAATTCGTTATAGATTAGGTAAAATTTGAAAGAGATTGCAACTTCTTATTATAACTGTGAGTTACTTATTTTTAAAATGATGCATGCAAGGTCAGTTGTACGATAATCGATGACGCGCTGTAAAGTTTCACATTTATATTGTTGGAGATGTATAAAAGTGTATGTAACTATGTAAATTGGTTTAAATTATACATTTCAACAAGAGTATATACACCTAATGTAAACAATTATAATAATGGTAGAAACTGATTGAAGTAGAAACAATAAAATAATTACAATTATGCAATTACAATCAGTGTGGTGTGCTTTATAATGGAAAATTCTGAATCCGGTTAACGAAAAAACGCATTAAGTTGTTATAACTTTCGTATTAGAAGTAAATACCGGCTAATATCTGATGTAGAATTACAAATTTATAAAAGAATAACCAAATAAATAAATTACAGTTCATTTAAATTGTTTCTTACCTGGATCGCTGGATCGAGCGGTGTTTGCAATAACAATAATGGGGAAGATAAATTTCCACATGGCTGATGAAGCACTAATACAACTTCTCATCATCTTAGACAACTTTTGTTTGTTTTCTTTGCGTTGGTGATGTTCCTTTTACAGGTAATATATTCGCCACTCGATTAACGCCGGAGAATACCGAAGATTATATTTACCTTCTTAAATATATAATAATAATAAGTGGTTTATTATGGTAAGGGTAGCGAGAAAGTAGTTATTATTGCAAGTGTTATTAGTTATTACTGCCGGCAAAGGATTCTTGGTATTGAGAGATCCGCAGAACCAATAAACGTATTACCGAACGCTTATTACAGATTAGCATTTGCGAATCTGATTGAATATTAATTTGTTTCGCTCTTGCCAATCGGTAACGGGTTATCATACCGTCATCTTTCGGTCAAGTTCAAGAAAATATTTACTTTATTATTACACACTGGACGTAAACATATTTCGCATAATTCAAATCTGATATTCTTTATATTAGACGAATTATGAATGGGCTTTTACGTTAGAGTAGTAAGACCAGATATATTCATCTTCTTTTACATTAACCGCGGTAGCCCTTCATTATATTTACATTTTACATACTTGTAAGTATGTATAATTATTATTTCCTTTCGAATCTTAGCGTCTTTGTCTTTGGAAATTATTCCCCGACGTTTCGGCTACAACTGCGGTAGACGTTTTTAAGGGTAGCACGTAGTTCTTCTCGGTCTTACGCGACACTCGAGGCAATTAAGACCGGAAAGTGTAGCGTGTGTTACCCTTGAAAATGCCTGTCGCAGTTGAACGCGAAACGTCGGGAAATAATTTCCAAAAACAATGGCCGGAAAGTCCGAAAACAAATAATAATTGTATTGAGGAGGGCAGCCATATGCTTATTTATTATATGTTTGTGATACATTTTGTGTTTTCTACATCAAATCGTACGCCTTTTAACTTTTTGGACTTTTAGATTTTTTGAATTTTTTCCTTCAAATGCTTGTAATTATGAATCATTTCCTTCGATTTCTCAAAAACACATTTTCCTCAAAACACATGTCACCTTACGACACCCTCTGTCTCATTTTTTATATCATACGAGTTAATGTTTGCTTTAACCATCTTAAAGAGTAAATTTTGTGATTCTAAATTTCAAATTAATTAAAAAGGATCTGAAATTTTGAACGTTTTTCTTCGATTTCTCAAAACATATGTCACCTTACGACACCCTCTGCCGCATTTTTTATATCATACGAGTTAATGTTTGCTTTAACCATCTTAAAGAGTAAATTTTGTGATTCTAAATTTCAAATTAATTAAAAAGGATCTGAAATTTTGAACGTTTTTCTTCGATTTCTCAAAACATATGTCACCTTACGACACCCTCTGCCGCATTTTTTATATCATACGAGTTAATGTTTGCTTTAACCATCTTAAAGAGTAAATTTTGTGATTCTAAATTTCAAATTAATTAAAAAGGATCTGAAATTTTGAACGTTTTTCTTCGATTTCTCAAAACATATGTCACCTTACGACACCCTCTGCCGCATTTTTTATATCATACGAGTTAATGTTTGCTTTAACCATCTTAAAGAGTAAATTTTGTGATTCTAAATTTCAAATTAATTAAAAAGGATCTGAAATTTTGAACGTTTTTCTTCGATTTCTCAAAACATATGTCACCTTACGACACCCTCTGCCGCATTTTTTATATCATACGAGTTAATGTTTGCTTTAACCATCTTAAAGAGTAAATTTTGTGATTCTAAATTTCAAATTAATTAAAAAGGATCTGAAATTTTGAACGTTTTTCTTCGATTTCTCAAAACATATGTCACCTTACGACACCCTCTGCCGCATTTTTTATATCATACGAGTTAATGTTTGCTTTAACCATCTTAAAGAGTAAATTTTGTGATTCTAAATTTCAAATTAATTAAAAAGGATCTGAAATTTTGAACGTTTTTCTTCGATTTCTCAAAACATATGTCACCTTACGACACCCTCTGCCGCATTTTTTATATCATACGAGTTAATGTTTGCTTTAACCATCTTAAAGAGTAAATTTTGTGATTCTAAATTTCAAATTAATTAAAAAGGATCTGAAATTTTGAACGTTTTTCTTCGATTTCTCAAAACATATGTCACCTTACGACACCCTCTGCCGCATTTTTTATATCATACGAGTTAATGTTTGCTTTAACCATCTTAAAGAGTAAATTTTGTGATTCTAAATTTCAAATTAATTAAAAAGGATCTGAAATTTTGAACGTTTTTCTTCGATTTCTCAAAACATATGTCACCTTACGACANTATCACGCCTATTTTTTATTGACTATAAAATTCTTAAATTATAATTATAGAAAGATGTACGCCAAATTACGTAATAAGAAGGGAGACGAAACGTGGGAAGAAACAATAACAATGGGAAGTAAAATATGAGTAAAGGTTGTGAAAGAGGGGGATATAAGAAAGGCAATGTGGAGGAAGAAGGTAATGGAAATAGGGGCAAAAGCTAGAAATGATAGAGAGAGGGTGGGAGTGATTCAAGGGACGGATAAAGGTAGGAGAATCGGTGAGGAATAGATGCAGAGGAGTAATAAGAGAGGATTAAAAAAAAATAGGTGGAGGGGCTGGCAGGGGGACTGGGTGCCAAGGGATTTAGAAAGAGGGAGAAAAATAAGTGTAATTGCAACATCTGAGACAAGGGAATGAGTATGAAGGATGTAGGTAATGGAAAAAAAGAAGAAAGATGATGTAGGATATGTGAAGGGAGGATGGAGATGGGGTTAGTCGTCTAATGGAACCGTTTAAGGAATAGATGGACAGAGTGGAATGTAGGACTAGAAATTAGGTAGAGGAAAAAAAGGATAGAGTAGTATAAAATAATTCGAAGTGGTCTGTATTCCGTCGAAACTGGCAGACGCGGATCGCGATTTCGATCTTTTTGGATCTCATCAGCGCGTCGCAGGCAGCTCGGACAGAACACAGACCAACTTTTACCTGCTGTCTTAACAGTGCGTTTTAGAAAATACTACAAATGGCGCNTACGAAAATTACGTAAAAATTGTAAACATAAAAAAGCGCACTTTAATTGTCGATCTGTTAAACAATCATTCTGAAAGATCCAATAGGTGAAATTCATGTAAAAAAATGTGAGGAATCACGTGGTGCCAACAGATTTTCAATACAATTTCAATTAAAGAAAATTTAATTGATACAATACGAAAATTACGTAAAAATTGTAAACATAAAAAAGCGCACTTTAATTTTCGATCTGTTAAACAATCATTCTGAAAGATCCAATAGGTGAAATTCATGTAAAAAAATGTGAGGAATCACGTGGTGCCAACAGATTTTCAATACAATTTCAATTAAAGAAAATTTAATTGATACAATACGAAAATTACGTAAAAATTGTGAACATAAAAAAGCGCACTTTAATTTTCGATCTGTTAAACAATCATTCAGAAAGATCCAATAGGTGAAATTCATGTAAAAATATGTGAGGAATCACGTGGTTCCAACAGATTTTCAATACAGTTTCAATTAAAGAAAATTTAATTGATACAATACGAAAATTACGTAAAAACTGTAAACATAAAAATGCGCACATCAATTTTCGATCTGTTAAACAATCATTCTGAAAGATCCAATAGGTGAAATTCATGTGAAAATATGTAAGGAATCACGTGGTGCCAACAGATTTTCAATACAATTTCAATTAAAGAAAATTTAATTGATANCGAAGTGGTCTGTATTCTGTCGAAACTGCCAGACGCGGATCGCGATTTCGATCTTTTTGGATCTCATCAGCGCGTCGCAGGCAGCTCCGACAGAAAAATACGTAATCCTAAAATGTAGCATTGTGCTACAGATGGCGTTCACTGTGCCGTTTGTAGTATTTTCTGATAGAGTAGTAGTACAACGTTTTTTAACCAAAAAAGGTGATGCTAATCCTGCAATTATTGTTTCCTTGTTAAACATATATGGAACAAAGGTATTGACTCTGAGTGCCTCTTCCTTCCTTTTGACGTCTTTATCTCGTGTTCGCATATATTTGTTAATTACAGAAACTAACTAAAAGATGTAAAAAAAACCTTGGTAAAAATAGATTTGATATTATATTGTAAATAGTGAATGATGATGTAACTCTGTCCATTTTATTTTCTTAGGAAATTTTAGGAAAAATAACGATTGTGGTGTTGAACTACATATTTTCTATTTATCAACGTTTTCATTTTTATAATTCACTCTTCTTCATGATACAAAAAATATTTAGAATAAAGTCTTACAACGAACCAGTTTTTAATAATTTGTACACCAAGTACCAAAACAGGTACGAAGATTTTTGTGTTAACGAAAATCTGTGAAAAGCAATTTGTCTTGCGTTTAACCGTAAAAATATGGCCAATATTACAAAAGCTCGTTCGTCAAACCCCATGTTACCTTTACGATATCCTGCCTGGTCTTGGGCGATAACTTTACGCGTCCAAATTTGAAAATTGGGCCGAAATTGTTAATCATTTTCATCGATTTCGCAAAAAAAATCATTAGCAATATGACGTAGAATTCTGAGTTATTAAAACTTTAAGTTCTTACCAACGAAAGACGCGCAAAATGGTTTTTTAAAAGTATTTAAATACAAAATGCAAATACTTTTTTGATTTGTTATTTCAAATGTAAAATCCGAAATAGATTTCCCTTTTGTATTTTAAATGCCAAATGCAAAATACGTATTTTCAAAGTACTTTTTTAAAATAAATACTTCTACATTTACTTACGTGTTGTATAAAATATTTTTTAAGAAAACCTTGCAGGCATTTACTCATTTTTTAAATATTGGAGTGTTTTTAGAGTAATAGTGGTGTTTGCACTATATCACCAGCTGCGAAGATTAAGTATGATTCATATTTTTCTGTTTGAAGTGATTGAGATATAGTTCTTCTATCATTATGTTATAGTTTTTTCAGTTTAGCTATAAATAATTCTTCTGTATGCTTCCTTATTTGTCTTTGACATGCTTTTTAATTGGAAACAAGACACTGATGCCAAAATAGTTTGTTTAGCGTGAAAGATTAAAGCCAAAATATCTTGTAGTTTTTCAGTGTTACACAACTTGTGCATGTCAATTCAATATATTTTGTGGGCTGTTTTGTCGTAATTCATATAATTTCGTAATTCCTTGCTAAAGGTACGATAAGTAGTGATTTGGCAGGTGATTATATCAATTTAGAACTTCATGGACCATGACATTGAACCTAGAAAATAATATCGATCCAATATTTTAGATTATCCATTTTTTTCCTAGGAATTTAGAAATTTTTGGT